GTTCCGTGGGTTCCTCTAGTTTTCTGTTCCATTCACCTACCTGTTCTCGCTGTTCGTCCGTACACTTGACTGTCAACCTGTTGGTTATCTTCCCAAATTGTTTTCACTAGCCGAACTACTGAGCATGTGCACCGAATGTTTACAAATTTGTGTTCTCTCCGGATATGATAACACTTTCCTGGGTCGCGAATGTGCGTAAAATCAAATGTAAGTTTCTGCGTGCCAACCGCTTGTTGCGTACAAGATATAGTTCAATAACTTGCACGGAAATCATCGGGACAATTCAGAAGTTTTCATTGTAATTGACGGTATATCATGTTTGTCGTACTTCACGTGTAGACAACAGAATTGCGACTCGATACGAGTTTCTAGTTGAGGACTTTACTCTTTCTATTTGTTCTTCTGATAAAAATAAATATATGTTTTGTCTAGAGTTTCATAATACACGTAAACCTAAGGAATTAGACTCAAAGATTACAAACAAGCAGATAACCTGGCCTCGATTACAGTGTAGAAATCTGAAACCACATAATATTTATCGGTATCAGACGAGATTTCAGAAACCAACCGAGAAGATGGAGAATAACTTTGTACGTAATCCATAGTGTACCAGGATGTCACACGTCACAACAGACACACACAACAGTGATGCAAAGAAACAATATATTACCCAGCCCATTCTTTACATAGTGCTACTATGCCACTTTAAAGTGATTCCGTTTCATTCGAAGGTCATCGGCCACCATCAGCAACTTTCTCTGGATTTGATTACGTGCTATGTTCACCTCGTAGTTCCATAATACTGTTGCACGCATTTACCATCTGTTTGCCTTGATTTGACGTAAATTGGAATGAGTTCCCAACTTAGCAAAGTCCATAATATACACCAGTTGGATATGCTTTTGTCAAGCTGTTTCTTGTTCTTGACGAAACCGTTATTTTTCTGATTCGCGGTAAGTTCAGCTTTAATGGTTGAGCACACTGGACCCACTAAACGCAAGTGAGGATGTTACCGTTCGTGTTATATGCCAAACATAGAAAACCCGAAGAACCGGACGCAAACCCGCTTTCAGCCTCATAGCCTATGGTTCACCTGTGAAAAGTGTGCGCACTTGGTGGGGCCTTCAACTTCGGCCGTTTCTATTCTCGTTGGATTAGTTTAAACTACCGACTGCGGATTCTATATTTTATCTTTAACTTTGATGCAATTTGTTCTTTATGCTCAGGTCTAAACGTCATTGTTGTCCTACTCGGTCAACTATTTGAAAACGTGACGTGTTACTGCCTTAAATCCGTGCCTCATGGAATACGGCCATAAAGTCAGGAACATTTGCAATCGTAAAAGGAATAGATGTCTTAGCAAAAGATGTCTTAGCGCAAACATCGTGATGGTTGGCAATCTGGCCTCAGTCGTTGTTCTGTCGACAAAACACAAGTCCCACTGATACTTTCCAGTAAAGTTCGCTCGCTCCTTGTTAAAATCAGTGAACTCAGTGGCACTATGCAACGAATTGAGTAAGTTACTATAGGGATCACTTTGTTGCAAGGAAGATGCTTGCATGCTGATGTGGAAAATGAGGTAACTCAAATCGGTGTTTATTTTCCCAACAGGTCTGAGCGTCCCGGAAAGCCACAGTTTCGCGGTGGTGGCGTTCTAACTTATGTTCCACAAGTTTGGTGCAACTCAGCAATCATAATATGTACATACTCAACAATTTCTATAAGCTGCCATTTAGTTGAGTGCACACGGAAGTTCCTAAGTGGCATCCAACCAATCATCCTTGGAGACGTATACATTGCTCCAAACACATCTGCATTGGAGTTAAAGGTTTTTGAGGACCAATTTTCTTCAACGCCACTGCTTAAATTAGATTGTTCTATCTGCAATTTTGCTGGAGATTTCAATAGAAAGGATACAACATTCTTGAAGACACTTGGCTTGGTAGAACCTAGTGACGGTTTCAATCAGACAAGATGCCCACCTGGCCGCTGTGTTCACAAATAAACGACAGCCGTTTGCCATACAAAATCGGGCTCCTTTGAGCAGCTCAGACCATTATAGTTTAAATCTGTGTCCAGTCATATACAGCAGGTCTAATATTTTAGCGCTGACCAGAAGTTTTTACACGATTATCAAACGGCGAAATTGCTCATCGGAAAATATCACGTGGCTCCAGACGATGTTTTCCTTAACTGATTTTTCGGTTTTCATAGTCGAGCACCTGTCGCCAGAATGTGACCATCTTACGGACCACATCAGGCATCTCTTTGATATGTGTTGCGCTGTTGAAACAATTTATCTAAGAGCAGATATATTGTCATCACCAATACTTCGAAGGACGAAAGAGTGGTCCTACAAATGTAAAAATATTATTCGTGTCAAAAGTCTAACCACGACAATTGAATCCGAGATAAAAAGACTAACCCAATAATACGTCGAAGCAGTTCTAGCCAACCACAACTGACGCGATTTATGGTGGCTTCTGAGGCAGCTGTGTGGTAAGAGAGTTTGAAGCCAGAGCGGTGAAGTGGATGGGAATAAATGGAATTCGGAGTTTAGTTCCGCTTCACTAAACTCATCTTCCTTGCCCTCCTTAATTAGCTCAAGTCTAGCTGCGCGCTTCGATCAAAGTAACGGTCACAAAGAACTCGAAAAATTAAAGGCGGTCGTAGCTTGTGCTTTGGATACTAGCTCACTATTAGCTTTGGAGGAGTGCGCCTTTTCTCTCCTACTGCTTTTAACAGATCTCTTTAACAAATATCCGGATATTTGGAGAATTGCCAGTAGCAGTCCAGTACCAAACACTGGATCACAAAAGTATCGCTCATTGGCATGTATATCTTTGCTCCTAAAAGTTTCTCAACCGCCTCTAAAGATGATATCTACCAGTTCGCTTATAGACCCCAGCGCTCCACAGTGGATCCTGTGCTATATCTTGTCCATTCCATAGCCTCTGCATTAGATCAAAAATATAAATCCGCACGGCTTCTCTTCCTGAATTATTCAAATGCCTTTGGAAGCCTGGATAGGTCAAGGTTGTTAAACCTGCTATCCGAAGATGGAGTTCACTTTGGTGTGTGTAATTTGGTACGTGCCTGTTTTACTGGTCGTACTCACTTCACCTATTTGAACGGTAAGGAATCTTCTGTCCTTCTTGCCGACTGTGGTGTTTCACAGGGAGTGATCTTATCACTTTTTCTATTTTCCTTGTATGTTGAACGTCTCCCCATACAAACCACATTAATGGGGTGTAAATATGCTTGCGATGGCATGCTGGGATCTATGTCCCTCATTAAACAGAATTACTCATAACTCCAAGGTAAGTTAGAAGGTCTGGTGGAATGCTCTTCATCCAGATCTCTTACACTTAATGCTTCTAAATGCAGTGATCTAATATTTTCTTTTCTACGTGGCGATAAGTCGTAGTCTCTCATAGCTTTCTGCCCATACTGTGAATGAAAACTCTCATACCCATCTCTTCCACCGTAAAGTATGTAGGCGTTTATTGTTCCAGAACCTTACTTGGTCTACGCGCCTCTGTAAAACATTACAAAAATGCAGCAAACTTCCATTTAATTGCCTCAGACTGACGACAATTTCAGTACCTCGTACTTTAATATTCAGGTTTTTGACCTCTTATATTATTCCCCATTGGCTTTATTGCTCTCCTGTCATTTTCCCTGCACTGCTTCAGAAAGCCTACATCTTATTGGTGTGATCTATAAAGCTTATTTCTAGGTGTAGCGGCTTGTCTAGAGATCCTTTAGTTGATTTGATCATTTCTAGACAGCCTGACACCTGCAATGATGTTACTTCTAAGAAACTAACTGATCGAATTCATCCACTTCCCAATGATGTTTCCAAAACACTCTCTTACTCTTCCACTCGTTCGAAATGCAATTTTCTTCTACCGCACGTCATCGTATCGTAATACTGTTTTGCCTTATCTCTCACTTTTGCTTGTTGACACAGCAAAAGTCACTAACATTCTGCGCGAGCGCTTGTTGGAGTAACAGTTCTACTTTTTACCCCAGTTTTCTACCCAAGCATATATATTGATATTATCATCAAGGTGTCCGCAGTGGTATTGTAAATTCTGAAAATGCATCCATTCGGGTTCATAAAGCTTATTTTGTCTTGGCTTGATTTGGTTCATGTTTGATAACTCAACGGGATGCTAGTAGTCGCAAGAGGTGTACTTGACGGACAGATTTCCAAAATGGGTTCTGTTTCTGCCCCTTATGCGCTCACGTGGGCGAATTCTCGGCACATACAAAATCATAGCAATTTTCGCAACTGAATTCAGGCAAATGCCATTACCAATCCAAAAGCGACAAGCAAAGAAAACTGGGAATACGATTGGTTGAGCCAAATTTCAATCAATAGCACTGTCGATACAGTCAGTTGTTAGTCGCCATATGACGCGCCAGCATGCACATACACACAGTGAGCACGGGTCGATAATGACCACTCTGGACCGCAGTCACTGCCCGATGTAAACAGAATTTCCTTTTAGAACCCTAGTGCGCAGTAAACAGATGGAGTACGTCAGTTAATAACAGTGATAACATTGTTAAGGTATTTTCTGACTGTGTTTCCATGCTAGTGTGGCGAGATGTTTCGTGTTGTTTGAAGTTAGAACTGATGGGGTTAGCAGCTACTGTAGGTGTGTGTGTGTGTGCGGGCTAGATCTTTTCATCATCTGTCAAACCACACAGTATGACAAAGTATGGTTGTAACTTTATGTCCAACATGAAAGACGCATGCGTGTTGCGAGCAACAAATATGGCACTTGCATAACAAGTCAACAACTGCTCCGTATCAGCCTGTGTCTAAGTCGGTAAGTGGCAGCATGCCTCTTACCAATGTGGACCTGTTCGTGGTACCTCACACAGAGTCTATGCAGCTGGTATAAGTTCCGAACAAGTGGATTTTAACTATCTGTAGGGGGAAATATTTGCAAGAATGTGTAAGGCGGATATCACATCATTGCACTGACCTTCAGCTTTGGTACTCGGTTGATTGTTTTCAAAGGCCGGAGGACTCTGAGCACACGAAGAGACTTTATGGTGTTCAGATTTTTTGCTGATGCGCTACCTCCCGTGTGCCTATAGAAGTAGGGATGCTGTTAGTTGGTAGATAGAGTATAACGATGTTAATTCATCAATAAGATCAACTAATACTAAGAGATGCCATTACATTCCATAGCAGTAACAAGTTCTTTAGAATTATACAGACAAACAATTCTGCTAAAAAATATCTTGGGCTTCGCGGTGGAATTTCTTGTCTTTGCTTCAATTTTCGCCATTACCTATTAGAAGCAAACTTGAATTTGACTTTGTTAGAAAGACCAAGCCAGCATGATGCTTGCATTGTCAACTGTTGTCGCCTTCAAATGAACGTTGTGATTTCTGTGGTCACTAGTAAGGGTGAGTATTACTGACGTAAGTTCCCTGATTGTCACAATAGGAAGCAGTTTCACTGCATTGGATAGCAGAGCGATAAATCAGATACAAGAACACCGTAATCCAATGTATGTTAGTAAGCTAGAAGACAGACTTGTTAGCTTCGAAATAGACAATTGACACGCAGGGGTGTAAACATAATAGTCTTCCTGGCGATGAGACGCTCAACTAATGTTTCAAATACCGAACGTCCATAGTTTAAATCAATACATTCGTTTTGGGATAATAGATAAGGTTTTATTTTATTCGACATCGGTTTGCATAACTTTGTCTGAAATTGCAGTTGGTACATCCCTTCTGCTTATAGCGATACTACTATTGCCAACAGAGACAACACTTTTGCCACATTCAGTACTTAGTTTCCTTTTAGTAGAAATTACAAAAATACGCACCGTTTAAAGTCATACACCCGGAACGATGTGATATCCAAGCTTTATTCACAGACGAAATTGTAGAGTCAGCAGCATGTCTGTGTCACCGAAATACCAACGTTTGCATGGTTTATTGACAAAGAGCAAATGTACCACTCTACGTCTCCGTCTGGTTACATTAATTTATACAAACTTCATCAAATCAAGTTATGATGGACAGAATGTGGAGTGATTGACTACTTGATCTGTCCAGTGAAATGTATGGAGTCACTCCTACCCATATGGAAGTTTTTTAAGTAGACAGTCAGTTGAGCATTAGTTTATTGAAAGGGAAAGCGATGCAACTCAGTGGATAAACCAACCGTCTTGGTAATTTCCCACGCCTCACTTGTATAATATTTCGCAAGTATTATAATACATTGTCGCTAGGAGTATTAGTAGAAGCTAGCTCTACTTGTCCAACCGCGATCCAAACTTTCTTTTCGCTTTATCTCCTCCTGATTATTTGACTGAAAACGTCGATTGGTGGTCGATAAGACCAATCGACTATACAAAATCGCTGCGAAGGTCTTAGTACCACAGCATAAATGATAACGAGGTAGGAGACAGATTTTTACACAATTAGCCCAAACTTAGTTGTGCTGTTGTGGTTTTATGAGCTAACATGAACGATTCACGATTAAATTGACTGTACGCTATTGCTGAATTGAAAGATCAGTCGAACTTCAGCAACGCACTTATGGTGCGCCCACTTCAGTAAGCTATTGCCATCTGTCGCTCCAACAGGTTTCAGCAAACCGCACTGTAAATTCTAACTCTAATATTACATTTGTTTTCAATCTTGTGGTTTTCAGTAGCATTATCTACCATAGAATTTCTGCCATGGTGGATTTAAGGGATCAATATTCCACCATTTAGCTTCTTTTCGTGATCAACTCTGTTCTGCAGCCTCCCCCCCAGTCTTCAGAGTAAAATCAAAAGCATGGTAACAAGAATTAGATTACTCATGAGTAGAAGGATTTTGGTGAGTATTTTTGTTCGTCGCAGTCAACCGACAATCCAGATAAGTAGGATAGGTAGTTGACTTATCTGGATTGTCGGCTGACTGCCACGAACAAAAAAAGAATTAGATTGTTAGTGACCTGATTGTCAACTTCGAATCAAAGAAAATACGTTGTCTCAGATTAGTGACTTGGACAAGTGCTGCCGATTTATTGGCTGATTTGAAACGCAGACGGGCTTGGCACTTGCTATGAAGAGTTTGCCGTTTTGCAGGCGTGCAACGTAACTGCGTATATGATGCTAATAGAACGCTTTTCATGTAGGCTTATTTCGGTCACACGTATTACGGATGGATGGAAATAGCGATGAGAGATAACCCTGTGTAGCTGCTTCTGAAATCCATCATTTATACTGATCAGTTGTATTGGTGATCATTGCAAATATTTCATATCGGCAAAGTATTTGTCATGGCACTTTGCATTCCGACACCGACTTTGCTTCGACTACGTACGTCGGAAATTTATTCCATTTATCCACCATTCTCTGTACTAGTCAGGTTTGGTGAGCGAGCCACTTCAAACCCGCTACTAATTCCGACGTGACAGTTGCCACTGTTCTACAGCAACATGTTGAGGACGTCTGCAAACTACCAACTCTCGTGTAAAGGTAGTGTTTTACACAACTTTTACAGTTAATCTCAAGTGTTGTGGAAAAGTCAAACTGGTGGAATAAAGTAAGTGTGCATAACGTACCAGAGCGTCGTCGTTGACCTGATGGAGAAAAGGAGAAGAGCATTGTGACTTTTGCGGCAAAATAATACTGGTATATTATCCTAGGCAACTAACTACGAAAGGTTTGGAGCATTTGCCTAATGTAGTAACAGGAAGCAAGTGTGATTTAGAGCTCTAAATAGGGTAGATAACAATGTAGATTTATTGTTATTCCCTCGGTGGTTATTTTGGATTTGGCGGATGGTAGTGATGAGGGTACCGAAAATATGGTATTTTTGCATGACTAATGCCTACTGACCTGTTTTTTGGTTTGACTTATTAAGGTTGTCCCCATAACATCCGTCATCTGATCCCTGGAATCCGGCCAATCTGAAAGCAAAACTATATATTGTTTTACTTTACAACGTGTCCGTACTCAGTATAGCAAAAGAACTTGGTACCCTCAAGCAGCGTTTTGCCCATAGTGTTTTAAGGCGACCAGCCAATAAATCTTACGCATTAAAAGCAATCTTCATCAGTCATTCCATTCAAGCTCAACCATGTATCCATGATTCATTGAAAGTGTTCGGCATGACCTCGTGCTAACACTTATTGACACGCAAGTCACGTGACATAAACCACCATCCCCAAATACGTATGGCATCAAGCGCATCATTTCTATTATTCTTTTGTAAATTAAACTACTCAGTTCGTTAATGGTAAAGCAATTTATTTTGCCAAATTTGTGCAAAGCTCAGTAATAATGTCACTACAAGACGAATCAATCTACCCAGACCGCAGCTGTGTTCACCCTACTAAAACCGCTGTTTTGCGTCAACGCAAGCCGTTCGGACTCCACCTAAGCCCACAATTGACATAATTGCATCTATCGTCTCAAGCGGTTCTGATGCGAAATGAACTTACCTCTGTACACTGTCACCAACTGGCAACTCATATACTGCAGCAAAATTAACCTTCCCTTAATTTTATCTCCTAAATATCTATGCTAACACATGATAATTACAAAGATAGAGAAGGTATGTTCGCCTTCGCTGAGTCATTAAACGAACTCCTGCAGTCCACCAGCCTTTCATACTGGATCTCCATTGCAGTTGTGCGGCGTTACGCGTTTCTTCGCTATTCCCCCCTCGCGTGCACATGTTTCTGTCGGCTAGTATTTTAGAACCGACTGATCCGAATTTAATAGCGTACTCTGTGCGTGAGATGCTATCAGGGAACATGTTCCATCCGTCCCGACTAGAGCGTTTCTATTACAACTCAGTTGCATTGTTCTTACAAACGGATGAGTAACACAAACGGATGCCCCAACTTTATAATAATGATCTGCTGTATGTGAAGTTAAAATCGAATGTATATTGAATAGTGAAAATGAAAAGATCAATTGACAAACTCTTGGGCGTGAACGCGGAATATAGTTATTTATTGCCGCACACCATAAACTTAGCTTATCTACCCAACATCCTATTCAGCCGCATTATGCCCTCGAGATATATAATCCCCACTGGACGTCCAGGAATATCCTATATCCCGACAAGGATTGCCCCTATGTTATATTATCGGGTAAACTGTTCCAATATATCAATCAGACTGTAAAACATCATTTTTATACGAGAAATGATATAGGATGTTACTATCAGTACGAAATGAGCTCGTTACAAAAATTGCAAACCAAATGTTTCTATCACTACGTGTTTTCAATTCAATTTTTCATTTCAGCTAAGCAGTGCGTTCCATGCATTGAATGTTCGGCTGTTACTGGTCCATGGCTCCCAGTAATTGTGGAAAAGATTAACTTTTCGGAATGACATCCACCTGATCCTGGAAATCGATTAACAGCTGGGTTTTCTTTATTGATATCTTGCTCATTGCTGAAAGGCGCTGGTGTATCAGTGACCGAAAACCATTTTATGACGTCTGTAGACAGTTTACTACAAAGTCGCAGTGTATACCCCTTTCTTAACAACTGAATTCTGCCTATAACAAATATTTCCGGATGCAACTGGAAGAGCAGGATAAGAAGTGAACACCGCATAGTGTCTGTGTCGTGAAATCTTCATCCGACTCAAAGGCTCAAGGGCAAATGCAAGATGCTTCATGTATTCTTCATGGTGTGTAGGGAGCTGAAAGATCACACGACAGATTGTTACTTCCGCCTAACCAGTGTCATTGGATTCTCCAACTGAAAGAAGGACAACATTCATTAACCAAATTTTCCATCAGCTAGTCGATCTCGTCCTCATGATTGCACCTCACCCATTCCAGTGACTCCAGTTTACATGTCACTGATGATGAATGGTAGTGATTCCGCATCACCAGCTTACCCTGATTCTGACATGATTAAAAATTGTGTAACTGTCGCTGTAAACCCACATCTTATAGAACAATCAGGGCTGAATGACTTGGTACTTGACCTTGGCTTGCCTAAGAACACTGCGGAGTTACTAGCATCCTGGCTGCAGCTGTGGCACATACATCCTGCAAACACTAAGCTTACTGTATAGAGAAAGAGAGGAGTTACTATGTCTGGTAAGTATGACACGACAGAAAACTGTTGCTACTGTTCCGACATGGACTGATGAAGGACCTTGGCGTGAAGCGTATCAGTGATCAATGGCTTTTGTTTATTGACTCATCCAAGAGTAATCTTAATGACATACTGCTCCACAATGGAAATGTATGCCCAACCGTGCCGCTGTCGCCTGTCACCAACATGAGGGAGACTTACGAAAGCATGGAACAGACACTCGCAGCACTGAACAATGATAAGTACTGTTGGAATACCCATGCTGATTTCAAAGTCATCGGACTCAAAATGGGTATGCAAGGAGGTTTCATAAAATATTGTTGTCTCTTGTGCCGATGGGACGGTAAAGCAACTCAACAGTACTACAGAACCGAAAAGTGTCCAGAGAGGACGGAGTATTCTGTAGGGAAAATGCGTGTAAAGCATACACCTGTTGTGCAACCTGATCATATCTATCTATCACCCCTGCACTTCAAGCTTAGTTTCAGTAAAAGCTTCGTCAAAGCTTTCAAACGAGATGGTTTTACGTTTCAGTACCGGAAACAAGTGTTTCCGAGGATCAGTGATGAGAAGCTCAAAGAAGGTATGATTACTAGGCCTGTTCTTTCCCAGATAATGGCGAATAGTGGTTTCGAATGCCAGTTGGTTTCATTTGAGTTAGAAGCGTGGCGATGTTACAAGGCAATGTCCACATGGTTTGTGGGCAGCACAAAGACATGACAAAATAGCTAACTGCAGACCATCGGGATCTTAGTGCTCGAATGTTACTCAAGGTGCTGTTTTTGCACAAGCACCTTGAATTTTTCATTCAGAACTTGAGATCTGTTAGCGCATAAAATGGTGGGCGCTTTCAACAAGATATTTCAGCCTTGGAGTATCGCTACAGTGGCAAGTACACGCCTTATAGGATAAGTGACCCTCGCTGCTTTCTGTAACATAAGGGCGCTGGAGCATACAAACGTCGATCTCGGCGAAATAATTATTTCCCAGTGCCAAGGTGTAGTCAATACTTGGCGGCGAGTGTTGCAGAGCTGTTTTAAAATATTTACCACGTAGTTGCATTCTGTATATGTTGTGGTTTAATAAATTTGCTTATAATTCCTGCGACACAGCCTTGATATTATTTAAAATAATTCTTTGATTTTACCAATGTAACCTGACGTGCTAAGTAACATTGGAAGACTTTTCTAAGATCCGTGCACTGTATTCTATAAGTTAAGGACATTGGCATTTCTGTTCTGGCAAATAACTATTTATGTTTCACAGTGTAACCGGCCCTCATAGCGTCGAGGGTGAGCTGTCCACTTCAACTCGGATTCCAGTAACTTGTACCGGCACCCGTGAGTGCTTCTTGGTGCGCGCATGTACAGCAGCGGTCGTAACACAGGGAAGTCACTGAGACATAGCACAGGGAATAACATCCAAGTACAACAGCGTCAAAGGGGCGAAAATGTTATTAACGTTGGAAATAAAAAGTATGAAAAATGCGCCTAAAGTCTTTAAATCCCTTGCATAAAACGGACTGCAATGTGGTTGCATAACAAAATACATGTACAGTGTTAAGCAGTTAAAGTGTCTCAGTCTCGATACTTGAGTGGAGGTGCAATTCATTAGATTTAACCGATCGTCTCGCTAGTAGCATGGTAACCAGACCATTTGCATGAAAACAAACCTCGTAGTCTAAGCAGCCAAACTGAGTTTGGAAGCAGAACATAAACTATTTAGTTAAACCGCTCTTTCACTTATCCAAACTGCGGTTATTCACCACCGTAAGTTCCCTCCATGATCCACAGGAATCCAAGATAACCGTTACAGCTGAGTTCATGGGAGATGAACGGATTTGCGGTTAGTGAGTTTACAAAGTGAGCGCTAGAATAGGTTCACGAATACATGCAGGACTAGTTCAGACAGTAAAGTTTGAGCAAGGCAACACTAGCTGCATGGTATTAAAGCAGATGCTTGATATCATGATGTCATCTTATGAGATTTGTGCAAAATAAATTGCGATTTGTACACTGATATGGTGTGGAAACCCAGTTTCGTCAGTTAGTCAATCGGTTGAAGCGAAACTGTTTATACGCCACGTGCAGCAGTTAGTAAAATTTTCCGATATGTTGATAACATTTCCCTCATTCCACTGTCTCGATCAATATGTGATCATATTCAGAACTATCAAAAGTTTGACTTTTAAGACGGTGCCGAATTGTTCATTATGTTGGCAACTTTGAGAAGCTAATTAATCCCAGAGATATACAAGATAATTGAAACAAAATGCTTGGCCTATGTGCGTGATATACTGTTCTAGATAAACAACACATTAAACGAAAGAAGAAATTGGTTAAATGTGAATACGCGATAAGTAAAAAATGTCCGAAAGTTATTTGAGAAACACCATGCGATAAAATTACTCAAGTTTACCACAATTGGCATCAGCTACGTGTGCAAGTTGGGAGAAGATTATCAAGTACGTAGAACAAACCAAATAAAGTGGAATGAATTTTATCCACATTAAAAAGACTTAGTTTAAGTTAAGCCACATGTCCTCTTCATCTCAATCTAGTCGTCGTTAAACACAGAGCATGTAATAAAAAATGCGTTAAAAACCTACCTTACAACGAACGCAACCAGAGCGAATAATACAACGATCGCATCCAAAATATTCCACGCATCCCGAAAGTAGGAACCAGGATGAAGAACAACTCCCAGATCGATAACCTTTGGATAAATTACAGAAAGTTAGGAATGAGGCAAAGTAAGATAAACATTAGCAGCAAGATGCGCGATAAAAGACATAGGAACCTGCGTTACCACTCCAGTAGAACCAAACATATCCTACTGAATCGAACGCCGCTGGAACCGCTGAATTGGCACAGTGGACGCAACACGGGGCGAATATGTGGAAGTTCACCATTACAACCGTCACCCCCACAATCCCGTCAGGGTCAATGACAAGTTCCGCATCATAGACAATTTCCCTTCTCTGGTTAGGTTTAATACAGTCATAATAACTTCAGCCCATACAATATTAATTAGCATATATAGTACATTTTTCACAATGCTAAAATCCGCAGAAAAGAAACAAATCCACAAGCGAGAAATATTATCCCGAAATTCAGTCAATGCTAAACGGTTCTTAACTGAAACAGGCTGCCTGACTGGTAAATTCTAAAATCCAAACAAAGTATTGGCTTGTTACTGGGAACTTCGAAACTTATTTCATGTTACTTTGGATGGTTAAAAGCAACTGTAAACTGTAATTCGTCTAATTGAGCGGCGGCAGTATCAACATAGTAGTATAGGTTAGAATCCTTTTAAAGGATTCCTTTACTAATGGCACAATTCCCCTTCAGCCTGGTGGTCCGTTTGGTTGTCGAATCTATAAGTGTTATTACGTCCGAGTTAGTCAAGAAGCTCAACCACACTTGAAGACGGTGGAGATTTGTCAGTTTAGAGCATACATGGTTACGTCCATAACATCTTTATATCGCACCATTTCTCATAACATCGAGGAACTCACTACCGCAATTAGTCAGACGCATATTGTATTATAGTTTTCATCTGAATTGGAGAAAAGTGACTGTTTTCAGTCATGTGGCTAAGAAGCGACTTCATGGTGGTGCCCTACAGCGTCAAGTGTATAGGAAAAGTATTTGGGATGAACAATTTACGAATTTCTACATTCTCTTCCATCCCTATGAAAACGGAACCAGAGTTTCAGCTAACTGAGTCAGGTGGAAAGAAGTTAAACTGACAAAATAATCCCGTAAAAATGTAACGGACGCAAGCCAGCTGAGCTATCGGTAACGGATGGACATCGTCCCAGTAAGCTTCCTGCCGACTAGTATGCAGCAGAAAAAAGTAATTTACTATGCAAAATCATCAAATGCTAACTAATGAGATCCTAGTTGGAGGGGGGAGGCTAAGACGGATGGGGTGGGACAAAGAAACTCACAGTACAAACGCCACTGAGGTCGGCTCCTAGATTTCTCAACAACAGTATTCAGTCAAAGGGGTTCAACATCTTTCGGACCCCAATCAGGGAGCCGAGGTGCTCCAAGCGAGGCCAGTTTTGAAGTGAGGGCCTTCATTCCTTTCGACCAAGTCATCACTTGGCCACCTCTCCTCTTCTTCCATCCACACTCCGGGCGCGCAAACAACGCACGTAGCAGGTGTCGGTGAGCTGGCGTGCGTAACACGTGGCCCAGCCATCGGAGCCTGGTGCGTGAAATAACGGTGCTGAGCGGTTACTTTCCTTTTCTTGTGCCGTAAACAAGGTGTCGAACACGCTCGCTGCTTACCGGGTGTTCACACCAGAAGTGAGCTAAATTGCGAAGGCACCGGTAACTAACCTCCTTTTCCGCTGATCTAAGGGGCCAACTTTCACAACCGTACACTAGGGTCGAACGTACTGCTGCATTGTACACTCTAAACTTCAGGGCAAGAGTGATGGCGCGCCGGCGCTATAAGTGGCCTCGAACTTTTGCTATACGGTTAGTGATCTCATCTTCAATACCACGGGCGTTGCTACAACTTCTAGGTAGTTGAATTTTTGAACGACTTTGAGCTGATCCCACCAAGGCTCAGTGAAGTAGGCGGTCCAGACCAATCTTGGATAAACGCTTTGCACTTCGAGGGTGCGAAGCAAAGCCCGAAGTGACGGACAGCTAGTGCTAATCAGTCCAGTGCCGCTTGGCACGTTTGTGAGCTGTCACAGATCAGGGCAATATCATCAGCATACTCGAAGTCAAGAAGTCGTTATCCTGAGAGTATCTCCACACCTTCTAAGTCGTGTCCTGTGAACGCGATTTCCATGACTTCGTCAATAGCGAAGTTGAAGAGGAAAGGTGACAGCGGGCATCCTTGTCTCACGCCGCTGGAGATATTAAAGGGCGACGACAACTTGCCGTAAGCCCTCACTCTGCCCGAGCTACGCGCATATAATGCTCCGATAATATTCACATATTTCTCAGGTACACCTTTCCTGAGTAGACAGTCCCAAAGTGCATGTCTATCCACCGAAAAGAATGAATCTTTGATATCGAGGAACACGACAACGGTGGGCCGCCAATATATGTGACAGTGTTCCAACAACTGACGCAAGGTGAAAATGTAGTCCATGCAGCCATGACCTCGATGAAATCCGGCTTACTCTTCACGAATATGGCTTTCACGAGTGCCAGTCAGTTTGTGATGGATGACAGAGACAAGCAATTTGGAGGCGATGGAGATTAAACTGATCTTCCATGTTTGCTGCAGTCCGAGCTTGAGCCTCCCTTGAAAATTTGGGCTATGACGGAGCGGCTCCTGTCGGTTGGGACAGTTTCCTTCTCCCACAGTTTCACTAGTAACTCGTGTAAATCATCCACAAGCGCCGATCCCCCGAAATTGAAGGGGGCTGGAGATAGATCATGTGTCGCGCGGCTTTATATGACTTCAACAGTGCGATCTCACTTTCAACTTCTGAACGAGAGGGTGGATCCAAATGGACAGCCCACATAGCGGGGCGATCAGGGAGCGACGAGAAATCCAACAGTTTCAAACGATTAAATTACTTTTAAAGTGCTCAGCACAACGCGCCAAGCGTTTTAACAACTTGTGGATAGGCTGTCAACTCTCATTGTAAATTGTTTCACTAAAACCAGGTCTCCTGTTCCCCGTTTATCAGCCGGAATAACTTACGATGATTACCAAGCGAAGCGGCCACTTCCATCTCTGCAGCCCGATGACACGACCAGGATTCGCGGTCTCTCTTCATACCAGCAGGGAGTTTTGCCCCGAACTCTTTGCGCGTTTCATTGTGTTCGCTTCCAGCCGGAATATGCCAGCGAGCATCGACAAGTTCCAAAGACTGCGAAGAGCCCCGATGTCCATGTTCGCGATTAGACTTATCACATGAGGATTTGCCTGCTGCTAGTGAGGTTTGGTGTACACGCGACCAGTGACCTTCAATTGTCTTCAGTGAGCAATTACTCCATTCGCAAATCAGCGTACTTTGATAGGCATTCAGAACAACTGGCTTTGTCAGTTGGCTGGTGTCAATACGCTCACAAGCTCGTCTTAAGCTTCCGCCAGGACGCATCCGCAGGTCAGCACATACAAGTGCATCGTCGGTGTCCACACCGGTGCTCCAAATCCAGCTACAGTTCTGGACGTAGCCTCTCCATCGGCAACTTATCGCAAATTGGTCGATTATCGTCCATAGCTGGTTCGAAGCTGGTGGACATCAAGTCACCCTCCGGCGGGTGCTGTGTCAGAAATTAGTGCTCGCAAGAAATAAGCGGGCATCCTCACACAAATGAAGTAACTGCTCACCGTTATCATTACGGGAGCCTATACCATGTTGGCCGCCCAGATGCATTTCGTCAGTGGATATATTTCCAACTTGAGCGTTCAGACCGTCAGCCAGCAAAACCGTGTCCGAGCTTCTTCTGTGGCGAAAGAGCTCGTTCAATTGGCGATAGCAGTCGTCCTTTATTGAATCATCGCTAGAGTTTGTGGGTGCATAGGCAGCGATGATGAATAGACACCCATTAGTCCCGTGCGACTTCGAAGCTTTGAAGGAGCCAGCCAATCGAGCCGCACACAACCAGCTAGTGATTGCAATCCAGTCAACCAGAGCAGCTTAGGCCTGGGGACTCAGGTTAATACCAGCACCGGCTTGGCCGGTGCTCGAAGCTGCATCGTCACCGTGTAAGCGTAATGAGAAAGTGCTGCTGGTTTCACCTGAAGGGGATCGCAAAGTGATTTGCAGTGAGCAGTGATTGTAAACTGCGTGATTACCCGTCCTATGACAACTTTTTGATGTTTATTTTGCATAAATCTGTACAAGCCTGAGAAAGAATTATTGAATGTGTAGGTTCGCTTAAAAGCTTGGTTCATCTATCATCCTATCGTCTACACTAGGTTTCACACTTTCGTGGAGGGAACTGATTCCCCTTTGTGCCGCAAATGTTTTCTTCAAATTGGAAAACCGTCGCGAATCCGCAGAAACACCGCAAGATACCGTTGCCCTACAACTGACTATCGGACTAGGCCTACCCAGTGTAAATATCATTTGACTTGTTCACTTTCTTTTCTTCTGGTCTCGGCTTATGAGCCTATCAGCTGTATGACAGCGTAGAAACAGTAATTTGCAAAACTTTCAGGGTGGATTGGTTCTTGACGCCATTTTAGCCGCGGTTCCATATAAAATACCCATTAACTGTAAGCCATTTCGGCATGAGGCAAACATTAAGCCAAGTCGTTTAATTCGCAAGTGTATTTGGGTTACTAAGTTCAGTAAAGAGAGCAAAATCAAGACGAGCAGATTAGCTTTTTCACCGTCGTTCTCGAAATAACTATAATGCTGCCTTGGGAGTTGTGTGTTGCTGATGCACTATAAAATTTCATAAAAAGTTACTTTGAATTTCCTTGACTGGCTATGCGCAGATAGGGAGGACAATTCAGCACTCGTAGCTTCTTTACCGTTCAGAAATGTCTGAATCGGGAGTGAATATTTGAGTGCAGTTGGAGAATAAGCACTGATTTTAACAGCTATTTTATACTGGCGCTTATATACATAATTAAGCAGCCGAATATATTAATGTCGCATGAATTAAATTGTTCGCCAAATTGAGGTATTAGCAAACCTGAAAATCTGTACGTCGTTTCTATTATTATCATTATGTTGCATTAGTAGCACTTGCCGGCTAAAGCCAAAGGGAACAGGCAAGTCGTTTCGAAGGAGATCCTGACACCAAACCTCTAGGCAGAGAGTAATCGAAGCTGTAGTAACTTCGGATAGTAAAGGAAGTGCTAATTGCCGGTTGGGACTTCTCCTAAGCTTATCTACTGTTGCAAACGACGTGGTGGGTGTCAGCATCCCATCACATTCATTAATTGTAGCCAATCATTGAAAAAAGATTTCTCACCTAAATGGTTGATTAGTTGGGCAGTTCACGAAAAGAAATTGTTCAGCTCGAATCTACCCTCAACAAAGACGCTGAATCGTACTAACTAGTCCTACTGTTTTATCAAAGCACATTAATCCACATGCGGACGCATACCTTGAGTATCAGTTCGATGGTGAAAACGCCAGTGAATGCGTAGTCAAAATGCTCCAAGATTGTGTTCCGTCGCGAATGCTCTGACACCGGGTCTTCTGCTGCCAACGCAATAGAACTAGCACAGATGACAATCATGATGAATAAGTCGAAGTATCGCAGGTTGACCACGAAATGACAAAAGCGTCTGATACTGTTGGTTTTGGACAGGTGGGAAGAAATATGAAGAGTCAGACGGTTCACGCTTGAGCACGCTATCTCCAGTAAACGAACAAACAAACAAATAAAAAAGTTGTACTAAAAGGATCGTTTCAAGTTATTAGAAGTTCACAAGCATGTAAATGTTGGACCGTGTTTCTCATCTGCTCCATTACTCTCGACGGAAGTCCCGCATCCATGTCCGCAGGGAGACAATCTAAGGAGAGTAATCGCGTTTGCTGGTAAATATGTCAAGCTTATGGGAAACACGACCTCAACTACGCTAAAAGCGTGGTAACAATTAGTATCAAAATCCTGCGACTAATTTTGAGAGCGGTATCTGACAAAATTAGTCTGAAATGATGTTTTAGCTGTTTAGGAAGTTAAGATTGCAATGCTTAATTGGTACATTGCCTGTCTGAACAAAAGTAACCAATGCACTTTAAAATATCACAAAATATTCCAAACAGATCCCATTACGTTACCTGTACGAAAAGCGATCTAAGACATCATTAGTTGAGGAAATGCAAGCCGCTAGAACATACAAGTTGGCTTAAGCATAAAAGTTGTCACCTCGCATGAGTCATTTAGCTAATGACGTATACGGCCCTACACTCCGAATACATGAAAAGCATATTTTGTTGAGTTTAACAGTATCGCCAGCCGGGCTACGTGAAAGCTGAGTCAAAAAAAGCGCTACGCTGCATTTAGTCCTCCCTAGAAGTGCACTTTCAGTTAATGAACCTTACACTCAACTATATGCAAATGAACCACTGAGACGGTTTTCAATCTGATGCGGAAAACCCGCTCTTGTCTGAGCGAACTAGTCTCGTTATCCGCCCCGGAATGCTAGCAGCATTCATATGGATTCAGACGGAAACCCTGTGTATCGGTCTCCATTAAATTCATCGCCCTGTAATTTCTTACTGTACTCAATGGACAGATAGTATTCACTGGAATTAAATGTCAGTGTGTAACATCCAAAAAAACATTACTAAATACATAGCTGACAGGCGAATTGTTGGCTAATGGTTCAATATCTATCAAATATTATGCTTTCTGTTTGATGAATATATGCCACCCTGAGTTTTGAACCTAATTTCTTGTACGGTCTTCGCCGATTTCTCTCTATCTCATTATGTCTGTAACCTAAGGATTTTCCTTTCTATCTAATAACGTATCCTCCTGATCCGAAACCGATGTGGTGCAATTGTTGCGTGTATCCCTAGCCATGGGTTACCGAGCGTTAATCGATAGACAAATACCTGGTCTCGGCCAACGGACTGAGTAAAACTCATTGTTCGAAAATGTGCAGTGTCTGGCTAATCCCCGTTGCCTTCAGTTTAGCTAGGCTGTCGCAATAAGCCCGTTGAGGCCGGCCATGCAAACTCGAAATCAAATATTTGTCAACTTAAATTGGCTCTGGGTGTACGTTTAAAATTATATCAATCACCATGCACTTCAGGTTTATCTGACTGCACTAACTGCTGTTTATATTTATGTATATCGCTTATTGTTGCTGGGACTGAAAAGTCGGCACAACCAGTCTTATTTCTGCGCTTTTCAAATGGTTGATCGGATCTAACTGCTTTAAGTGTAATTTTCTTTTGGTAAAATTACATTTCAAGGGCATTACATAGTTTTTTCACCCACCGTACCCAGACATTGCCATTGCGTTCTGATTGCCCTGTTGTGTGAATGCCACAATGCATAGTGAGGAAACATTGCAGACTGTTTTGTACTAAATGTCCTACCTACTATCGCAAGTAGTATGAATGTTTGAAGTATTTTAAAGGCTTGTATTCCGTATGACAGTAAGCGGAAGTCGGTTTAGTACAGATAGCTGCGTAGTATTAAGTTGAATTAGAAAAAGTAAGCAATTATTGGGTCCTTGAGTGCAAGCCCAATGACTTCCAGCTTCACTGATTCATTATTACGAATAGACAAATTCATCTCCGAAATGGGAAAATTATCAAATATTTTGCCAGATTAGATTGGTTCACTGTCTTATACAACACATTGAACTCGGGATCGTTGCACTGCGTCGCGTCTGCTCAATCATCTTGTTATGGCACACCCTGATTGCTGTTGTCTGTGCAATGCATCTGCAGTATGGATTTTAACCACTTATCCTGGAAGTCACTTTTATTCTGCCAGCAATCTGGACAACATTCTACCTTGGCCTTTGGCAGAAGCAATATGGGTGTCGCAAGAGTGCTCAGTCGCAATTCCTAAGTAGATAAGAGGACTGGAAAAGCAGGCAAGGAATCCTCGGATAATTTTTAGTTACGAGAGAGGCATTTGACCTCAGGAAATGGCGTTAAAATACTTAGAGCTTTTACTTATGTTAACTTTGGGAAGATCATGCTTTGTTATGGACACCTCTTATTTCCTTTGGAAGCAGACATTCCAGTGGCACTAAAGTGAGATTTTTGTTGACAATTACTGAGGTGTTTTAATTTCCCGCCGGTTTACTTGATAGCACATCGCTGGAATAATTTGCAATATCATAGTATACTAATGACAATGGAATAAACTTATCAACTGACTTACGCGTTGTTGGGAGCAAAAATGAACATTGAGCTGTAAGGTAGAACAGGTTTCCCCTGTTGCTGTTGTTCCGTTGATAATCGCAAACGTGCGCTATCGTCACTCTCAAGCGAAACGAAATTCATATTACCGTCTGTACAAGGACAAAAATGAAGCGTATTTGAGCGTGTGAATGTCGTTGCTTTTTCTTTAAAAATATTCGGTTTGCATTTATATATTATTTCCATGCATATATGGGTAGTCATTTCGATGCATGCAAGTTAAACGCAAGATAACCTGCACATCATACAATGAATTCTCACAACGAGCACACTGATCACGGCAGGAAGGTTGGGGGCGGTCTGGTGTTTATTTAGGTATTAAATGAGCACTTGAAAAACGACATGAAAAGGCATAGTTGCAGCAAGACGTTGATTTTTCGCTATCATTCCGCATCAAGGTCTGGAACCTGCTTATCTACTTGAGCTCGGTGTAATTGAATAAATTTAACTGTGGTCAGACATGTGGGTAAACTTAGTAAACAGACATAGCACCAATTTTGACAAGTAATTCCATCAAATCGATGTTCCGAATATGTTACCGCCAACTAGATTGAAGTATAGGTAACCCACATCCACACTATCGTGCAGCGACTAATTAGTTAATGATAACTGCTCAGGTTCCTCCTGACATACAAAATTAATTCTATCGGATGTAAACTAGATGCTACGCTATCCTAAATAATGAATTGATAGTTTGGTTTAAACCAAGCGAATAGAAAATAGAAATATAACAGTTAAACCAAAATAACGGTGGTGAAGATCAAAAGTAGCTGAAGTCAAAATAATGCATGCGCATGCTCAAGGCAATACACTAAACGGAATGAAATTGTTGTTACACTAGAAATTGTCTCATTCCTCCTCCTGCAGGAAATTTGGTCATGTGATGCAATAAAACTGAAATTCGTCCCTCTGATTCTCCATATTTCTCATCAGATTTTCTCTCTCATACCTAGTAGTACAACGACGTTCCCTTTCATCATTACAGTGCAACAGGATGTGTGTACCTGGTAGTCACAAAAGAAGTTGACTAACCAGTTGAACGATGGTCTGCAGCTATCAGGCTTGTGATTTTCCATGTCGTAGATGCAACTTTTATCTTATAGTTACATACTAACATATATAAATAACATCTAAAACATAGACTGATGGAAATCTGTAGATGGTAATTAAGAATTTATTTGTGACAAGCGTGCGCACAAGTGAGCGCACATGAAGCAGAAATTTATCAAAAATATCAACAAAGCAGACGGTAGGGGAATGCAATGGCACCACCGTTCATGGTAACACGGTTAATAGCGAGGAATTAGGCGAACAACACCTTGTTAAGGTAAACAGTTACCGAACGAACAGTTATGATTTCGTTGTATTCCGTACTTACACTGAGACAGTTTGGGATTCGCAACTTTGTTACGCTGCATTTGGTCTGTGCGTCTTTCCATATCGGGATCCTTCTCCACGTCAAGCCATTTGTCAACACGCGAACCGTTCCTGTAGGAATGGAAAGTGATAGCGGAATTCTACGGAGTGGGCTTGAGGAAGAATCCTGCACCACTTGCATGCGTAACGCATAGTTCTCTAATTGTGCCACTTATTCAGTTATACTGAATCGATCATTTTCTTCAACAATGACCAATATTGCACCTGCTGCCCAGATACCCGGTGGAGGACACAGCTTTTATGATTTTTGAAGTCAGCAGCTTGTTTTAGTGCAGTGGCAGCCAAATTGTTTATAGCTTAACGCTGGCGGTTTAATCCAGTTACCCGCAAGTAGCATGAAAGTAATAGAACCCGGTAATAATAAGGCTCGACAAACCTAACATCATGCAAATGAGAAAGATTCGAACAAAATGGGTTAGCAAGTACAGCGAATTTTTATTACGCGGAATAAGTAAGCTTCACATGTAACCCAAGAGAATCGATGTAGACTGGGCCTCAACAATGCACATGAATAAGTCGAAACAGTCTTGGTAAATTGCTCCGTTCTCCTCATTCAGGTGGATTCTTCGTGAACTGGCGACAACAGTTGAAACATATGCATTGCACACATGCAATGCTAGTCTTTACAATGATGTCGGGCTGCTCCAAGTAAATTTCTTGCGTTTACTGATGAAACAATCAAAATCGATCAGTCTCTTAGTGTAACATGGTTTTAGCAGCTAGTCGGAAAGTCAAAGCTGAGTGAAGCTTGCGACGTTTAGGCCAGCGGCCATTTAAATCTTACAAAAGTTGAAGCGCTAACCGAGACAGTGTGGCATATGATAGGCAGATGAGTGAACGTTTTCATGAGGTAGTGCAACCATTAAAATAGAGGTGCTCAGGGGGCGACACTTGTAGCATCCGGTACTACACGATGAATTAGCCACAGTTGCGGTGTTTTCCATAGAGATTAATGTTAAGATTCGCCAGATGGAGCTAGCTACTATGCAAAACATGCGTGGTACACAGACCAAACTGCGTCATAACGCCTTGAGCTAGTCAACGGCTTCAGTTTGGTGAGTACGTTTTTCCATACGGGATCCACCCCGCTCTCAGTATAGAAGTAACGTACATGTCAAGCAGCGTTATATCACATCTAGCAAAGTAGTCATGTCGGTTGCTTCCTTTTTTGCGCAGCCACCTGGCTTTAACCATGGATTGATAGCGATGGGCCTGCTGTAATAGGTCCTATAGAGGCTGTTGGCATGCGCACTGATAGTTATTCCCGAGAGCATGAAAAGGCTGTACAGTGTTTAACCGGGTGTGTGACAGCTGTCCGACTGAGTCCAAATGAGATACCGCTTAACTTGAAAGAATTTACGAAAAAAGCGTCTACAGGAAAACTATGTATAAAACGAATCCTCACCCGACTTTGTGCACAGTATCCACAGTAGTTGGTCCCATGAATGAGCCCGAATTTCCTTGCTGCTTTGTCAACTCCTGCTCGGTCATAGACCCAGCTTCAGCCTCCTCCATCTGTCAACGCATCGAATAGCAAACGTTTAATGAGTAGAAATGGCACTTCACTTGTAATTTTAGCTTGGGATTACATACCATGTTCCCGGATTATACAGTAGAAGAGGCGAAGAGACAAGTCCATATAGAAATATCAAATTAGTCTTTAAATTGTTTTCTAAAGTTGGTTACCCAAAAGATGAGCTTATTTAGGTCATGTCTGATATCAATGGATACGCACACCTAAAAACAGTCAGCAAGGGGACAGATTTGTAGCAAACGAATTCACCCCCGGTTGTCTTGTAATCGGTTTGTACTGGTTACTTGTCCGAAATACATTTACCAGTTGAAAATACGCGGAGCATGAATCATCCATGCTGGCAGCGTAAAAACTACGCACGTAGCTGGTTTTGAGGCAGGTATTTACGTGAGCGACCGTTGATGGAGATGTGCTACCAAGTGAATTATGGTCTATAAGGAGACTGCACGGAGTTCTTTAAATTGATGCGTCCAGTCAATAAAAGTTGTGATATAGTTCTCTCTAGGTACCCTGGTGGTTTAACGGTATAGGTTTTAACTAAATTCGCGAAGAACTGGAGTTCGGGTGCCTACCATTTCGATCTGATGGGGTCGAATATATTGGGAATTGGTAGTGGAGTACATTGTTTTCAGATGGATAAAATCCTACTGCACCGGTTACGGTTCTTTCATAATAAATAATACCCCAGACGTAACCATCAGAAACAAAAGTTAGCGAAAAGGTAGAAGTCATGCATTAAATTGCGTACGTAATCGTCAACCCTCGGTAGCTCAGTGGTAGAGAAGCGGACCGGAAATTCGTTGGGCCGGGGTTCAGTTCTCCGTCGAGGAAGATAATTGTACGAAGTTTAATCATGGTTTCCACTTTCTATGAAAATTACACTACTCACAAAATGCGCAAGTAACCTGATGCAGCTTATTCAACATAACTGATAGGAGTGTAGTAAGTGAAATATATCAGAAATGCCAAAGTTCAAATATATAGGTTAGTTGAATAGCAAAGCTGAGCGGTTGCATCGGAAGTGGTCAACGACATGTGAATGGCGAGTTCCCAAACATGGGTCCTTTTGTTGTGGGTCCAAGGTGGACAAAGAAACTGTATAATTAGCTTTTTGCGCACATAAATTCGGATTCTGAAGGCAGAGAACAATCGTTTCAGCCGCTGCTAGTAAGCCATGTCCCACTAAATCAGAAAAGAAACTAACTTATTTGTTTAACCGAAAGATACAAAAATGTTTGTAGGGCGGACACGCTTCCGTATGAGGTGAACTTCTTAAGTAGCCTTTTTGACAGAAATAACTATCCGGAAAATTTTGTTCGGAGAAATATGGCGTGCCGAAAGAAGAGAGCTGATACAGTTTCAGTGGGTAAGAAACTGGTTTCCTTATCTGTACCGTTCAAGGGGATAATATAGTGCAGGCAACGTCCCGAAGGCTATCCGATGCCACTGGCTATAATTCCTAAGCGGCAAGATTACGGATAGGCTTTACTTCAAAACCAATGGTATGGCAGTAACTTAAGAACAATCTTCCTCTTTCGAGTACTTCTTTCTTTGTATGCTCATTGTCTTGCGTACATCAAGCAAGATATATGGAAAGAACCACAGGGAGACGGTCTGAGAGAATCTATGAGTGTTGCCGTTGTGACGAAAACAGCGAGGATCGCCGTGTTGGCACATTTGGTTGATTCTAATCGCCAAACGGATACCCGCCAGTCTTTCTACCCCATATACTGCGTACCTGGACGCCACACACGAGCGGTAAGACATCGCTTACTAGCAACCGCCGAAACGTTTGCCATCCGCCTTTGGAGTCCAAATTCATGGACGTAAAAGCGATTAGTATAATTTATTTGCCTACCGTGGCCCTTCACCACAATTATCCATGTTGGGGAACACGCAAGTCACATGTCCTTGGCAGCTTCCGAACCCACCACCCAGCTGTGTCATTTAGATGACGTAGACCTTTGAACTTTGCCACTGTCTGGTATATTTCGCGTACCATATTCCTATCAGATGTGTTGTATAAGCCTGATGCGATCCATCGAAAACAAGCCCGTTCGCTGACCTTGGTTTCTACTTTGTAGTCCTAATGATCAAATTGGCTGAAATTCAACATAATCCAGACCCCGCTCTATAGTAAGACTGAGCGTGACTATCTGCTTTTCAGAATACCGCACCCAACCTGACCATCAAGCATCGTTTCAAGCACTAACCGCTGCAAATCAGTGGCTTAATTTGGGAAACCCAAAGCACAGAGTTCATATAGCATTCCTGCTATTTCCACCTGATCGATGAGCAAATGTGCAAAACTTGTCGTGAGGTGGAAAGTTGACAGCGAGCAAAACGCAACACTTAGCTGCTTCAGGTGCAGAGCGGAATGGTCGCTCTTCACTTTGATGCGAACTTCCGTACTGATTGAGATTGCCTCACAAGTCAACCATATTTAAGGACAGTGCACTTGTTTGCACCAACACGTTGTGGTTGTATAATTAGGGGAATTCGGACAACTCGTGGGGTACCGTCTGAATGCACAGTTTGCACTTGTCTATCTCGTTTTAGTCTTCTTGGGTGATTCGGTTGAATCAGTTCGGTTGAGTCTAAGTAACCAAAAGATCATGGTTGTTTCTATGAATTAACACTCCAATCATTATCTTATTTTGTTTTTTACTCATGCTAATTAATTCGATCACATGAGGCCTTTGCGAAAGCCCTAGCAAGACCTTCGGCTGAACAGACCCAAACGAATCACCCTGTCAAGTTGAATTGCCTGCGATGACTTTGATTATAGCTAATAAATTCATGTACCTCAGTGATGCGTAATAATGATACTACTGATAAGTAAAGACGTAGCTTGGAACTAAGCAAAAGTTTATGCTTCGTAAGGTTCTCCAAGCACGGTGATCGGTTCGCACTAGCAATGACGAAAAAGAAAGATCGACGGAATAGTTTGCGCAACTGCAATAGTTGACATAAAATAGTAATTGTCATTTTTCATGGTAAGATTAAATTCTGCTCTTGAACTAAGGCCGAGAACTTGTGGAGCGAAGCTTACTAGCCAGCTTCTAAGAGCATTTTGAAAAGCATGGAAAGAAAACGAAAGCTGGTAGATACATGCATTTCGTACTGTATCCTCAGTACCAGTAACAATAACTGATATGCATAGATATAGCTAACAGTGGGTGCAACCGAAGAAAGGAACATGTTACAAGATGGGTTCAACGCGAATTTGCTCAGATTGCCTACCCTCGTCAGATTCCATGTTCGCGCAGACCGCCGGCTTCCTCGATAGGCAAATACCTATTAGACTCGGGTCACCAGATAGAGCTGGGCTCAGCGTTTAAAGTTGTGTTATGTCACACTAATCCCCGCTTCCTTCGGTTTGCTGAGGCTGTCGCTATAAGCCGGATTAAGCCAGCCCTGTGTGTTCAGAAACAATTATTTGTCAGCCTAAAGCTGCCTTAGACGTAGGTGTGAACTTCTGTTATTCGTTTTGCACCTTAAGCTTGTCTGGTTGCACCCACTGTTAGCTACATATATGCATATCGGTTATTGTTAATGATACTGAGGGGATAAAACAAACTGCGTGCATCTACCAGCCTTCGTCTTCCTTCGGTGCTTTGCCAGTTGTTGAAAGGAACTAACTGCTTTAAATTTCTATCCGCATTGTCAATCGCCGCTCGTGAAGCTCTATAACCTGGTGAACATGGCGGTAGCGGCCAAGCACTATGTGGAATTTCATTCTAATGTCATGATATATTCGTCCCATGAGTCCAGACAAGGAGGAAACGTCCCCTGAGATGCAGCGCTGGCAGAGAGCAACACTGAAACATTCCAAACAAGATTTAATTTGTTCCCAAAGCAAGTAGAGCAAAAGGATTGTTCCAGTAAACCCACTTCCTGCTGCATTTTGGCTTGCTCCTCCTCTGCTTCGGTGAGTTCTTGTGCATTTGCAAGATTGTCCACAGCAATAGCCAAGAACACGTTCAGTAGTGTATCTGATGTTGAAAATTGATTGATAGGAAAAGTGGCAAACTAAAAAGCTTGGGTTTGTAGCATGAAAACCTGAAATAATACTACTGAAAACACCACTGGAGAAGGATACAGTTTCCGACCAGCATTACAAGAATAAAGTAGATCGCGTAGATTCCACCGCCACCAGAAACGCCACCTTGAGCGCGAATCCCATTGTACATTACCGTGTTCCAGTCCTCACCAGTCAAAATCTGAAATGTTTAAAAATTGGTTGGAGACCATCTGTACGGTAAGTGCTGGAGTCTGCCACAATGCCGCACAATGGAATTGCAAGTATGCACGCATTAAATGTTATAAACGACACAAATGAACGCAAAAGCAAATAGCTTACGTCTCAAAAAGACGTCAACTATAGTCCCGTAGTTGCATTGCTCTGCCATCCTCAGTGCGCATCCCGTCGGTTCTGAACCGGCTCCGCTTTGAATGTTGGAATTTGTTTATATGGAAAACGGGTACAGCCACGTGCCCAACTCAGGAAACCAGATGAGACACCGTGTTCATGTGAAATGTGAACTTTTAACTTACTTGGAAGCAACGTCAATGATGTTTCCCTTTGTCAAAATCACCAAAGCAGGCTTATAATAAGTTTGGATGGTTAACGATGCTGAAGGTTAATCAACGCTGAAGTGCCGCCAGTAATCTGTCATGGTTTTCCACACTATCAGCCGTGATCTTGCAGTGTAGTTCGCCAATTTAACTGCTGTTGGATCCCAAGATGATGAATCATGCTTGGGAATCTCAGCATAATAAGGCGGTCACCAAGATCATCACCAAATGCATGCATGTCTACCCGATTGATTGTGCGTGAGGCGAATCTCATCTGATGGCTAAGCAGTCTCCAATGAGATAATACTGCGCATAACCGGTGGCGCGTAGTCAAAACTACGCTGTAACACTTCCCCATCGTAACTACGTATTTCAAGCGGAGAGCAACCACTTTAAATTTCTAGCCTGATACAAAGTCTTAAATCGGACCACGTTGGTTGCGCTCTTTAAGTCCAGATGGCCAAAAGTTGAGACAAGATTCCTAGTCCTAGTTGTATCACTGCAGAGTGTTAACACAAAGCCAAAGATAACCGCAAGCGAAATTTGACCGAAGAGGCAGGCATCGCCTCCGTCAATCGATTAACAAGTGTTACCATGCGGCTGAGCTAGTGGTATTGCATCAAGTCAGAAGGCTGCTCTGTAAATCCAACCTGGACAGACCAGACTCTCAAGTTACCGCCTCTTGCATTTACCTCTTTAATTGTACTTGCGGTAGCAAGTACGTAGGCCGAGCTGAGAGAAGGCTGTCAGCGAGGATTGCAGAGCATGTTCCGCGAAACATGATTGCTAATGGTCCGAAGCTACCAACTAGCTCTATTACCCGCCACATACTAGACTGCCCTGAATGCCAGAACCCACGTGGCAATTTCAGGGTAGTTAGCAAACAGGTTAATCCCCGTTTACTACAGTTTGTGGTGGCGGCAGCAATTCGGCGGCTGAAGCCAAAGCTATGCAAGCAAACGGATTTCGTGACCACGCTAGCCCTACCCTGGTGAGGCTAGCGATTGCGTTTTCCTCGGAACAGGTCACGTGAGCCTAAAGACCTTCGACCGCTTTGAATTTTGTTGTTAACATCGCACTGTTTGCCACTCATTGTATGTAAACAGCTGAGGAGAATACGCGAAATTACTGAATTCAGTAAATTCTGTTATAATGTTGTTTCTTCTTGCTTTATTAAAATTTGTAATAGATATAAAAACTTCGTTTGATAACTTTAGCCAGCATGTAGCACTTTTGAGTGGTGACCTGTGGCAACGCACTGAAATCATGAACTTTCGATGCCTCAAAACATAAGTAAGACCCGGATAACATACGCAACAAAGAGTGAAATTAACATGCTCGCCTGGTTAAGAGAATGCTCAGCAAGCTTCGTCATTACCTAGTGAACATAGCCACATTGAAGGTCTTGTCACGCTATGGGAGTGGGATTTAGCCCCTTCGATACGAAGATTGTAGGTGCATTCAGATCTCTGAACATCGCTGCCTGCGAAACTCCAGCTTGCTCGTAATGAAGGTGTGCGTAGGCGCACGCGGCATGGAGTACTACACAGGATAATTCCATATGACAATGGATAGAAATGGGTAACTTGCCTTGGCTTGAAAAGATACTTCATATGCCATGTCAATACTCACTGAGGAGTGTCAAGTTTCGCTTGCCAGATGTAGATTGGTGTATGGTCCCAGGTGGAAAAATGTGTGCTTGGCAGCGGTAAAGGAAGGCACAATCCATCCAACTGCGTGCTTTTACCCTTCTCAAATTTCAGGCTGGTGTCTACATGATTCATCTTGTGCTTAGCTCCAGACGTTACATGACAAAACTCAAAGTCGGCACCAGGTGACACGTCTGCTGTCATCTCCTAGTAGGACTGCCTGTTTAAAGTGTGTTTGATGCTGAGTTATCTGCGGGGAAATGGCTGATAATGACGCGGGGCAGTGAAAGCCGCAAGGAATCTGTCTTGCCGATGTCGCCAGCAGTTTGTGACGTTATGTTGTCTACAAAAGATGTAGGTGCCTTGAAACTGAGTATCTTTATAATACATCTGGATTTTATGCTAAATAGTACTTCACCCCCTGTTAATTTTCTTTATTCCGTAGGTCGTTATGGTTGTACGGCAGCAATGCATCAGTTGAAATAGCTGATGTACTGCGGCTTCAAGACTAAGAATAATATTCACTGCTGCTTTAATCTTTAAGAGCAGTTAAATTCTTCTAATTCTACATATAGCACTGGAGGTTGAGTAATGGAATACAGTTACGTCTCGGTCTTCGTGGTTGTGACAAAGGACTTTTAATTTTATAAATCTAGATAACTGCTGCATACCGAAGGATAAAGTCTGTATGTATTGAATTTATTTGCACATTGTATCGCCAAATATTTCTAGGTCGCGCTTTGGTTGTGCGCCGTCTGTCTCCTGCGGAAAGCAGTAGTAATGTGGTAAGAATTCGGTTTATCTGTTATTCGGTGAGCAGAAAATCACTAAAGCATGCTCCTTTTATTGTGAATCTACACAACTCCCATCGCGCATACGGCAGAACCTGTAAAATTCATCCTGTGGTTGTCGCTCCAATCAAATGATACCACAGGTTACGTACATGTCTTGCATGAGCACGTATACACTTGGTGCTTAAATGAACCGAACGTAAGTGACTGACCAATGTTCTTATGTCACAAGCATTATCTTGGCCCCTGCTGGATAGTACACGTAGGTAAAAAAAGAAAAAAAGGAAGATGGGAAGATATTCTTGCAATACTCTCCACATTGGGTATGATTTCGATCCATATGCGACAGAGTATACAACTAGATGTGTTCACTCTCCGTGGTCCGCCTATCCTGGAGCCCGAAACGCCGCAGTGTGGTCAAATGCGGTGTCGGTGCCTTGATACCACGGAGCAAGTCTGTGTGTTAGCAACTTCTCCGTTGACTCTAAGCAATGGCCAGCCGTGCAAATAAATCGCAGGGGGCAACCGTTGGGCAAGCGTATGGAGAAATTATCGGTCACAGAATCGCAAACAAAGGAATCCTGCAATTCATTGGTAGGCTGAGTGTCTGACTAGGAAATCAGGCTTCCAACGACGTCATTAGTAATGAGATGCTCCGGAGACAGCGTTGATCAAAATAAATCAGTCTCTGAGCAGCACTCGCCCTAACAGGCCACAACTCGCAATCATACAGGAAAAATGTTCCCATCGTAACGTTCTGGACCCGACCGTTTAATGGAACGTTAAACTAACGCAGGCGCTAGAATTGACTTTTTAGGAGCGCAAATTGATATTTTCCTTTCATATTAACGTAATTCCCAAAGTAAATGAAGTTGTCGACCACCTTCAAGGAAGAATCAGAGTGGGAGGGTTGCAGCCATTTCTAACTGGTCTTAGGCGAAAACTTTGCACTTTGGATGGCGATAATGGATGCAGCATGGCGTGCTTACAAGATTAACCCCGACTCAGAGACTTGGGGCAATTTCCTGACCCATCGCAACCATTGCACTGCACTTGTCCGTGAGGACGAAGTAACTTATCAACAGTGTCTAGCCAAAAATTTCCCGGCAAACAACAAACTGTCATAAAGGCATGTCAATAAGCTTCGTAAACTGAAGCATGGAATCCCTCCACTTATCAAAATAGGCGGTAGAGTACAAAGCGCTGAAGAAGCAGCTAATGCCCTGCGGCTACAATACCCCTCAATTTTCGAACTCGCAACCTCTACCTGTCCCATAATGTCATGTACATTACCAACTCCACTGTTTACACATGCAATTTTCAACCCATCATTTGGGCTAAGGAAGTTACTCTCGCTGCGTGAGCATAGTTCTCCGGGAGCAAACAACATTTGCCAGAAGGCACTGAAGGCTTTGGCCAACAAGCTAGCTGAACCACTGTCACAGTTCTTCCAAAGGTGCTTTGATGAACAACAAGTCCACACTATGTGGAAGCGTGGCATTATCACCCCAATTTTTAAGGCGGTAGCCGTTCAGAGCCTGCAAACTATCGCCCAGTGACTCTCTTCCTTGTGCTGGCGAAGTTGATGGAAGCAGTCGTCGCTGAGGCTCTAATGGACTATCTGGGAAAATGCAACTTCTTGGTATCGGAGCAGCATGGCTTCCGTCAACGTCGGTCATATTCTATTGACCTACTGATTGCAAGAGGTAGTTGGAAGGAAGTGTCTGATGATGTGGTCGGAGTTGACGTCATCTATCTGGACTTCTCCAAAGTTTTCGACCGCCTTGATCAATGCATTCTACTTCAACGGCTACATAGTTATGGAATCGGAGATCCTGTACTTGCTTAGATAGGCAGCTCCCTTCACCAACGGAAGCTGCAAATACGCGTTAGGGGATCACTCTCTAACCAGCTTGAAGAAGAATGTGGTGTCCCACAAGGCTCAGTGCTGGGACCGCGCTTATTCTTGGTATTTATCAAGGACCTGGCAAGAGTTATCTCCCTTAATTTCCTGCTTTTCGCCAAAGACGTCAATATATGGTGGGCGATTCGTAACAATGAATATCCCGATCTACTCCAACATGAGCTAGATTGCATTTATGAGTGGTCAAAGAGGAACCTGTTTTAATTGAACATAGCTAAGTGCAAGGTGATCCATCGGCGTCACCAGCCGGTGAGCGCTTAATAGTTTGGAGACCACAGCTT